CGGGGCGGGCCGCGCCTCCCTGCTCCCACCCCTCAGGGTCCCCACTGGCCCGCGAAGCATCGCCCTCCGGGGACTGGACCTGTCCCCTGTCTTTCCCACCAGGAGATCGAGCCGGCCCGGGCCGCCGCCTGCGGCTGAAACTCCGATCAGTGGTGTGTCCGAGGCTGCGGGGCTCGGGGCGGCATTCTCAGCCTTTCCGGGTCGCCCCGCTGCCGCAAAGCCTAGCTTACAAGTGTATGGTGGCAGTAAAGAAGTAAAGGGTCATTAAAGCCCAGCGGATCTGCCTAGTGAGTTTCAGAACGCTCTTTGAGAGAATTTAGAGGTGGTGCCGTCTCCAGACCAGGGGCGAATATGAACGGGATGGCTTGACATTTAAAAAGTTGGAATTGGGAGAAAAGGATTCTGGAAACGCCTAGTGCCAATTTAAAAGGAAATTACTTTTTTTTTTTTTTTAAAGTCTTTCTCACTTTGGATTTGGAAGCACATCCTGCACGATATTTCTTTGGGATTCCTCGACTGCTTGACACGCATTGATTCTGTAATGACAGAATAGACTAGAGTTTGTAGATGACCGGGCTGTTGGAACAGGACTGGTTTGTGGTTTTGAGAGCTTCTGGAGGTGATTGTCATGTGCTGTTTTATCTGGGGCGAATATTTCAAGGTCTTCCAGGGCAAGTTAGCTGTATGGTACGGATTTTGCTGTTTATTCTGGGAAGAGATATGAAAGTGGGAATTTTTCACAGCTTTTGCTTCTTCTTTCGGCAGTTCAGTCAAAGGGGGAGTTTGGTTTGGCCGGAGCACGTGGGACACTTCTTTTTTTGTGTGTGTATGAAAATACTTTTACTTCCTCTTGCGTTTTCTAAATTTGCTCTTTACTGTTTCGTTTCCCTCAACTTTCTGCTTAGTTTTGTTGTTTAATTTTTTTTGGTACCCCACCCTGTTAGCTTGGTGTGCATTTATCCTATTTCCAGAGTTAATTCCTGTCTAGGCTAAAGCCTAGGTGTGCCTGCTTTTCTGTTATTTGTGGGAGAATGATAGAAATAATGCTGAGAGAGAGGAAGGTAGACAGAGTATTAGTGACGGCTAATGTTTCAACCAAGAATCTGTAAATGAATTACAAGATAATTTCTGTGAATTTTCTGCCCCTCCTAGCGTTCTCAGTAACGTGAATTGTGGAATCAGTACTTAGTGAGTGTCAAAATGTATTTGTCAGATAGTCATTTTGGCCTGTTTGTACATTGTATCAGGCAAGTGATTTTTTTTTTTTTAAACAAATTTCTGAGGCTTTAAAAGCTACAGAGCCGTTCAGGGAAGCTGTTCAGGGTGTCTCTGGCCCCTGCTTCCTCTGTAGCAGCTACTCTCTTTACACTTTTCAATTCCAGCCATACTTGCCTACTTTCAGTTTCCAGAGGAGGCTGTGCTTTCTTATGTTTTAGCCTCTACCTGGAACTCCGGGAAGCCTCTTTCATCACACCTGCCCTAGGCCACCTCCTGCTCAACCTTCAGGTCTCCTCATAAAGATCTCTGCCTCTAAAAGGCCTTCCCTGATGCTCCAGCATAAATTGGATGTCCCTCCTTGGTGCTTTCATAATTCCACGTAGCACCTGTTTTTGCATAATGTGATTGCCTCTTTACTTGCCAGCGTTCTCCATTAGACTAAACACTTTAAGAGTTTTTGCCCATTCTTCTTTGATTCCCAGGGACTGCTGTGGTTCCTATAACATGGTACATACTCAGTAAATATTGTTAAACGAATGTAAATCCAGTTCTCACTAGATTGCCCTGGTGGTGTGGGCCCAAGTATGGGAAAATGAGAATTGGATGGAGTAAGTGGTGTGACTCATCCTAGGACTATAATTCTGGCCCTGACCTTTGACTCTGTTTGAAAATCTTTATTGCTTGATGCAGTGGAAGCTGCAGCTATTACAGAGCTATTAAGGGTATGACAATTATGCACCGAAAGTCAAACTGTTTTTACTGGGGAACCTGTTGCTTTACTGCTATTGATTTCCTAGATATATCTGTATTTTTTTTTCCACTTAAGTAATTGTAAAGGACTAGGGAGAGAAAATGGAGGTAGGAGAGAGCCTAGAATTGTTATTGGGCAGAAGCAGAGGGTTGGTGGGCACCAGAATCAGGCTTCTGGTCATATTTGGGTCAAAACAAAGGCTAGAAAGCACACACGCACTAATGAATGAAGTTATCTGTGTGAAGGGCTTGCCCATAGTGTGTACTATCAGTTTGTAGAGTTCTAGGTGGTGTCTTGTGATGAAGTATTCTCTTCGCAAAATGAGGAACTTGTGAGTAACCCCACAGTGAGGTTCCATGGGATGGACATGTGGGAGAATTAGTAATGGCTGGAAGGAGTGAGTTCTCATGATGCAATTTGCTTACAAGGGGTAGATGAGTCTGTTTCAGAAGATGGTTTGTGTCCCATAGGGTCAAGGCTTAAGAGGTGTTCTCCTGATATGGGTGTCCCAAATGAGAGAATGAGGATGGTTCCTTTCATCCCCCTGACTTTTGTTGATTCATCCATTCAACAGACACTTGTTGGCCCGAACTGTGTGCCAGTGTGTGAGGTATTAAAGAGTCAAAAGTGAATACGACACAGTTTCTGCCCTGAAGGAGCTCAGTAGATTTGTGGAAGAGATAGGCAAGCAAAGAAATAATTATCTACCCTGAGCTCAGTGCTTATAGAAGGATGGCTAGTGCCAGTTCTTATTGGATGGAGAGAGGTAACCAAAAAACAGGAGAAAGTTTGAGCGAAGGCTTTGTTTCCATCTTCGAGCACTTCTTTCAAATTTCTCTCATATTGATGAGGTCTCTTTTGATTGTAAGAAAACCCAAATCAAACTGCTGTAAGAGAACATGGGAATTTCTAGGCTTACATGTGCCCAAAGGATCCAAAAGGAGTATGGCTGCAGGTTGGTCTGGATCCAGGGCTTCCACTCTTTAGACAAGCTGTGTCCACAAGGAGAACCCCCAGCCCCACCCCCTTCTTCCAGTCTCGTCCCAGAGGGACAGAATATTTTTCTTCCAGTCACTGTTGCCAAAGACCCAAGATGGACTCTGAGTGCTTCTGACTGGGTCCCATGCTTTTCCCTGGAAATGGGTATGGAGTAAACCCTGTCTGAACAACAGGGACTGAGAGTTGGGGAAACCGGGGTGCTGGTCAGGAAACAAGAAACATCATGTCTTGTCTTTTGTAGTCCTGCTAAGAAAGATATTTTGTTGTTTGGAAATCCTTGATGCAGATAATGCAGTGGATGCAGGTGGTGATTTTGGGGAGGTGATGCCCTGCATGGAGGAAGCTGTACACAGGATGAGGAACTTGAGGACAGTTTAGTTATGAGGTGGAAGTGTCCAGGAGAAAAGGAAGCTGAAGGACTAACCAGGAGAGTTATTACCTAGGTGAGGCTCTGGGAGGGAGTGTCTCATTGGGTGTGGGTTTCTGCCTTGATTGAAGTGCTCCCTGGAGGTTCAAATGCTTTCCCAGATAGTTGGCTTTAGATAAGCCAAGTTTACAGACTCAAATGCCTAGAGGGGCCAGACTAGTAAAAGAAATGAGTGACTGAGGCCAGGTAAGGGTTGGGGGCGTGCCCACCCCCCCTCCATGATCTCACCAAAGGGGCATGTGGGAATATGGCCCCAGAGTGACTCAATCTTTGTAGCTTTCCAGAAAAGCCTGAAATCTGGATTTTAATGAAGGTTAGATGGCATTTAGCGCAAAGGAGACAATCACCGTGATACTGTGCGGGGCTAAACAAAATATATCGGTGACCAGATTTGGTGTGTGGGCCACCAGGTGGCAGTTGCTTGTCTAGAAGGACCTGGAGGTTCAGAATCCCTATGATTATTTTTCTTTTTTTCCCTGTACCTTACCCTGATATTACTGTATTCTCAGTTCTTTGGATTTGTTGAAGAGCTCATTCTTTCCTTTACCTTTAAAAGATTTGATAGTACTAATCATCAACTTTTCTCTAGTTGGTTTAGTTTGCCAAATGCTGTACCAGACCACCTGGCTTGGTTCTCACCTACTGGCAATGATCATTTCTATTCTAGAAAGGGGGAAAATGACTTGCCATGATCGCACAGCTACTAAGTGGCCGAGGCACAACTTGGGTTCAGGGCTTCTGACTCTGGATCCCATGTGCTTCCGACTACAGAATTTGGGCTGCCTTTTCACCAGGGAAGGATTAATGTTTATTAAAAGCTTTTGGTGCTTGTTAAGCCGCTGGGCTCAGTACTTTGCATAAATTATCTCACCGCATTCTTGCAGCAGCTCTAAGAGGCAATGTTGTTTGTTCCTGATTTAATGATGAGGCAGCCAGAACTCGGAGAGGTCATCAGGCTAGTAAATGACAGAGCTGTGCATTCAAACCCAGGTTTCTGATTCCAAAGCAGCTATAAATCTCCACGTGGGCAACTCTTATGTGAAAAACCCGTTGTCTGAGTCGTGAGTGATGCCTTCGTAAAATCCTGAAGGCTTAGAGTTGGATG